AAAAAAAAAAAAAAAAGGTGTACAAGGAATCAAGGATGCATATATTTCAGTAATATTTGAAAAATTTAGATGCGATGCACAGAGAGGCGAGATGTACATCTCGTCTACGGGGAAAAAAAAGAGAGAGGGTATGGATATATGCACGTATGTGCAAGGAACCCGACTGTTCATCACTTGCTGGAGTGCATCAGATCACATGCATTTATACAGATTTCACAGATTTCGACACACAAAGCCCAATAGAAGACGAATGAGGACCAGGAAGCTCAACTCAATTATCAAACCCAGATTGAAGAGAGAACATCAAGAGTCCAAAATGTACAGCGCCGAACAGAGTTACAAGTCTTCTTCAATAAACATGAGTTCCCAGGCCTGGCGCTCATCAGCACCAGCTGCCAAACGTCAACAACAGCGCTCAACAGGTAGGTGTCACCATAGCTCACCCCTTCCCCCTTGATCTCTCTGTTCTCTCCTTCTGTCTATAGTCCTGTTTTATTCTCACTCATCATGCATGCACATTCCCTATCACACGAGGATCTACTTTGAATACTACTCACTGACTCTTCTACTAACTATCCCTACTAGTGTACTAACTGGCGCTGGCGCAGCTATGGCTGCCTTCTATCCAGCCAGCGCTCACTTCTTCTTTCACACATACCGCTGCTCTTCAACCCAGCGCTGCTCACACACAACTAGCGCTTGAAGAGCAGCGCTGCTCACACACAACTAGCGCACAAGTGCCACGTCACTTCCACACTTCATGCGAGATGAGCATCTGTCCAAATGGGAGGCTGGCCAGTCCTTTATAGTGCTGTACTAGCCTGGCGTGCCTTGCATTCAGCCTCAAGTGTCTGGGACTCCTGCCCAGTACCTGTTGTTGCAAAGTGTATGTCCCGGTATCTTTTCCCATGGTCTGCTGCTGCTTTGGGCCATCGGGCCTGTCTTTTGGACTCCTGGTCTGAATCAGGACTGACTCGTGGGATCATGACTGGACTGGGACTGTGGCCTTTGACTCATTGCCGAACAGACATGTCTTTTCATCGAGCAGACATGACCTTAACTCAGTCTTGAAAACTGTGTCCAATACCTGTTCGTTCAGGACCTGTTTGTGACTGTTCAAAATGACTTTTCATTTCATTATGGATGCGACATTTGCCTCAGGAACTTTGTCTTTTTGAGTTGCTGCTCGTGAATTTAAGTTCTGGCCGACAGGGGCCCTCGCTGTTGGGGCATTCATCTGGAGTCTAATTCGTAAAGGCCCTTTTATATGAATGAATTTCAATCATTGAATGAATCTGTGTTCGTCGAATGATTCAAATTCATTCATAGTACAGCTACCGTGGACCTTGAAGGGGACACACACACACACACACACACACACACACACACGGCAGTCTGCTAGGATTGCAAGGCTGGTGTGAGTAAAGTCGACCACTTTTCTCAGGGCTACCCCTAACTCCGGGCTATGTGGGGAGTCCTTAATACTCCTTATCCATCAGTCAAATGCATCCTGGGCAGACTGTCGGGGTTCAACCTCCTGATGAGTCGGTGAAAGTCCGACGAAACAGTCTGGTACAGTCATGCTTTTTTTGAGTGTATAGCAAATATGACAACACACACTTGTAGCAGTGTATATTTCCATCTCC